GAAATTCGAAGATTTTCTGATGCATAAAAGCATTTTTAATCTTAAAATGAAAATTACTTTGCATGTTGGATAGGCAACATGCAGAAAGAAAAAAAAGGCATGAGAAACACATTGCTTAACAAATCTTAAGACTTAAAAAAATATGATATTTTGCAGAAGAAAGCCTTGTAATGTTTACTGATAATCTGCCAAATTTTGTGAACATACACATACTAATTTAAAAGTTATAGCATGAAAACTATAACAAGCACAAAATGGTTACGAGGTCAGTCTTAGAGACTGTGCTGAAAGAGTTAATAGAATGTTTAATATAACACACAAAAGTGGAGGTGGATTATATAAAAATGTGGATTACATTTGTGAATTCCAGAGAAAGAATACTTGTTTGCTGTTTCCCTAGACTCTGTTCTTACAGGACACGAAGATTGGGTATACAGTGTCCACTGGCAACATCCACAACAGACTGGTAAGGAGGTTTATGACAGTATTTTTTATATGAGTGATACTTCTGCTTGATGTGTGGTGCAAGGTTATTGTTTTTTTTTCTATATGTTCATTGAGTTCTATTTTTTGATAAGCAGTATAAAATGAATTCTGGAACAAGTGACTTACTTCTCCAGTATAGTTACTATGACATCACTTGAAAGGAAACAGGAACCTGTTGTAAATATTGACAATTTTACCCAAATTACTGTAAGATTTAATTCAGTTTACACTATGCACAGAATGTGCCACCAATTATAAAAAGAAGAGATGGTAGTACAAAATATAATAACATTACTAGATCGTGGTAGGAATTTTTTATAAGAAGATTTAATTTTGCTGCATGCAATCTGAAACAGAAAGTTCACAAATAGGAAGGAGTACTTTTCTTCAGCAACTCGTACAGATGTAATGATTTTTCAGACGATCAGACGTATCAACCCATGAGATTGCTATCGTCATCAATGGATAAAACTATGATTTTGTGGGAATCGGACGAAGAATCTGGAGTGTGGCTGGAAAAGGTAAGAAATGACTGGAATATGTTGTGTAAGATAAAGGAATTTTAAATCCCTATAACCAGTGCAATGTTTTTCTACAAAATGTTTTAGTTTTATATTTAAACATTAAATATGGTATTGTTGGTGGTTAGTAAACTGCAACTAAAATAGTCTCCCATACTTAATACATCCATTAAAACTTAATACATCCATTAAATACTTTTATCCCATACTTAATACATCCATTAAATACTTTTATCCCATACTTAATACATCCATTAAATACTTTTATCCCATATAAAAGTGTTTAGAAATTCTTTCCAAGTCTGTATGTTTCCATGTTCTAGGTGAGGGTAGGAGAAGTGGGTGGAAATACACTAGGGTTCTATGGAGGAGTCTTTAGTCCTGATGGAAACTCAATTCTTGCTCACGGCTATCACGGAGCTTTTCACCTGTGGCATTACAATATAGTAAGTTGTTGGCGATCAGCTTTTCTTTATTTTCTGGCAGAAGACAATGTTCATGAACATTACATTTTTTATTATGAGGCAACAATTATGTTTCAGTATCATATGTATGCATCATTTTCCTAAATCTTTTTGTTATAGTACCTAAATGTATTTTGGTTGAAGCACGCGTGAATTGTTGAAAAATAAAAATTTTCATACTAATATAGAAAAAAAAAGTAACAAGTTTCATTTTCAAATCATTTGAATTAAAAGCTATCGTGCAAAAATTTAGAAATACAAATCAAATAACAATTAAAATATATATGAACATTGTCATTGCAATGTTTTGTTCTTCATAACGTTGTTAATCTTGTGATTTAGTTAAGATGATGTTTTAATTATGCTATGAATCATCCCTTTGTTTGGTTATTTTCTGTGCAAGAATAGAATGGTGTATAATTTTTAAACTTTGGATTCCTTAAGATAAAAGGGCTTGGCATGGCCAGGTGGTTAGGGTGCTCAACTCGCAATCTGCAGGTCACAGGTTCGAATCCCTGTCCCACCAAACATGCTTGCCCTTTCAGCTGTGGAGGCATTATACTGTGATGATCAATTCCACTATACCTTGGCAAAAGAGTAGCCCAAGAATTGGTGGTGGGTGATGACGATGAGCTGTCTTTCACTGCTAAATTAGGGACAGATGTCCCTTGTGTAGCAAAATTTAAAACAAACCAAACCGTAAGGATATTAATCATAAATAATTACTTTAAAGTTTTCTGTCCTTGTGTTTACCATCCAGATTCTCTTACTAATCAGTATTGAACTGTATGAAGGGTTGTTTATCAGTTGAGGGTAATGTATTTTCTGCAGGAGAGTGACTCTTGGGATCCAGGAGCTGTATGGGGTGGTCATTTTAGTACGGTTCAAGATTTAGCCTGGGATCCAGAAGGTGAATACCTGTTGAGCTGTAGCAGTGACCAAACTACACGACTTCATGCACCTTGGGTTCAAGAATCTGGACAGGTAAGCTATTATTTATGCCTAGTTGTCCTTAGGCTATTAGTTTTAATACCTTGGTTTACCTTTCTGTTTATTAGTATTGAAGTACGGCTATTATAAGATACATATAATTATGAAGTTTTAATCAAGTTTGAAGGTTAGTTTTCTATACTGGATGATTTATTGAATCTTTTTTTTTCATCGTTTTAAAGTTAACTTGGTATGAGATTGCAAGGCCACAAGTCCACGGCTATGACGTCAGTTGTATAGCTGTCATTAACACGTACAAGTTTGTATCTGGAGCTGATGAAAAAGTTCTTCGTGTATTTGAAGCACCAAGAAACTTTCTAGAAAATTTTTCTCAGATTTGTAAGGTTGATGTTACAGCTGATACATGTACTAAGGTAAGACTTGTTTGAATTATGAGTCTAAGTAACTACATTTTTACAGCAGTCTTCTAGGTTTTAATATTAGTTCAAGTATGTTTAAATCATTTCTATGGTTAGCTCTTATTGTAAGTAGCTGATCTAATAAAAATACCAGATTCTGATTTCTCTTTCTCTTGTCACAATTGTTAAACATCACAGAACTCGAGAACATATTTATGGCCACTACTAACTTATCACGTAATTACGTTTAAAAATATTAATTACTTTTGATTATACAATGGTGATTGTATATAATGAATTATTTGTACATTGTTGTTACTGTTAAAACAGTAATATATAAACTTTTCTCTGACAAAAGCATTTAACCATCGTAACACCACAAAACATGAGAGACTATAAAAAATGTTTAACTAGTTTTAATGCTTTGGCACAAAATCAAACTCATAAAAAAATACCAACTAATCTTTATGAAACATTCAGTATTCACAATCGCTTAATTGTTCAAGTTAACACACATTACACCAAGATCAAAACTATTTTCACTAACTAATCTTTGGCTATGTCAGAATAATTTATCTTTCCAAAAAAAAAATTAAGTGGTTAGTATTTCTGCCAAACAGTGAAAGTCATTTAGTTGAAATGTTGTCCTCAGAGATTTTAACAATTTCTTTGTATTTTCAGGCTTTATTACACTATGGCTGCATTTATTTATTTTATGTGTTACTCCCCACTATTCAGCCAGCTTTTTCCTTTATCCCAGTCTCCAAGACATGAACTTAGAAGGAATGTTACTTGAACATGAGAAAAACGATTACTAGCAACTACCAGAGTTTCATGTTTTGTCATACATCTTTCTCTGACTTTTGTCTCTCAACAATATCTAAAATCATAAAAATATTTCAACTTCCTGGATTTATCTATAAATATATTATTCATTCTTTGTAAATCTTTCTTTACAGATTTTTCTGTTTTTGTTCATTTTTTGCTTAACAATTTCAGAAGTTAACATTTTGTTTTTGTTGGTTGTTCACTTCACAATTTCAGAAGAATTAACATTTTTGTTTTTTATACTTTAATATTTCCATTGCATAAAACTATGGGATTTAATTTCACAATTGGAAATACTTTTATGAAGATAGGGTGTAAGTGGTATTTTTTCGTGGCTTTTCGTTATTTACAAACAATGTTATTTTACAGCTTTCTAACCTGCCCAAAGGGGCAAATGTTCCATCACTGGGGCTTTCAAATAAAGCTGTATTCGAACAAGATCTCATTGTAAATGCTAACCAAGAAAAGAAACACCCCAGAGATCAGTATCCTGACAGCTACTTTACACCATTGAGTCTTAAAGGTAAGATTGTAATACTTGTGTTTTGAAATTGTAACATATTGCAAATTCATTTTTGCACAGTTATTCTTGATAAAAACACAAAAATACCATTTTTTTTACCACATTTACTGCAGCTCCACCTAGTGAGGAACAATTGTTACAAAATACACTGTGGCCAGAAGTTCAGAAGTTGTATGGTCATGGCTTTGAAATATTTGCCTTAGCCTGCAGTCACACAGGGACCATCATAGCATCAGCTTGTAAGGTAAGTTTATCTTGATAGTATGCCATCTTACTTTCATATAACACTGATGTGGAAGAAGTAATATGATTTATATGTGTTGTACTTCTTTCAGTAATTTTTTTTATTACAGGGAAGTATACTTGTTTATTTTTAAATGCAAATCTACATAATAGGCTATCTGTACTTGCTCAGTGAGCATATCAAAATTTGATCTTTAGTTTTATAAACTGACAGATTTACTCCTAATCCACCAGGGAGAGTAGAGAATATATATATATATATTGCACTTCTGAGATTATTTTATTTCTATACTTGTTCCAGCAGAGAACATGATTTAAATGGATGTGTCGATATACTCGGTACACATCAGTATCTCCTCCATAATTTTAAACTACATTTTCTTTGATAGTTTGGGTAAACTTAATTATAATGTACAGGAAAATAATGTTATAGTTTTGTTCCTACAAACAAAAGTATTATCTGTCTGTTTACATAGTTCTAAACTACAAGAAAACTACCTTTCTTTCCTTAATGTGTATATCAAACAAATTATAGTTATTTTACCACATTTAACATTTTTTCTTTACTTTATGTACCCCATTTTTTTTTTCACTGGTAACATTCTAATAACAGTGAGTTACAATTCTATTTAGGCAAGTAAACCAGAACATGCTTGTATTATACTGTGGAATGTGTTAACATGGAAACAACAGGGACAACTGTTTGGTCACTCTCTGACCATAACCCAACTAGCTTTTTCACCAAATGACCAGTACTTGTTGGCTGTATCTAGAGACAGGACCTGGTCCCTGTTTCAACGACAGTTGGATAAGAGTAAGTCCATGTTAAACAGTGATTATAACTTAGGAAACTGGTTTGTGTTTTGTTTTTAGATACTGTAAGGAAGAGACGAGGTTTAATAGGACTTGATATATTTATATGTGAGATTGTGGTAAAAAATTTATCTCAGAATTTTCTTTGCATTCCCTAAGTCTTTACCTATTTTAAAAACATTGACATTGAAGCTTACTTAAGTTTGTCATTTTTGTATTAGTAAACAAATCATGAAAAATATAATATTTCTTTTCTTATTGAGTTGATTTAATTAGAACAGACCTTAATAGCATTCGTATCATATAAATGTTTAATTTTGGGCCAGGTGTGGCTGAGTGGTTAATGTGACAGATTGTGAATCGAAGGGTCCACGGTTTGCCTCAAAATCATGCTCTGCACTTTTGGGCTTTATTATATGAGTGGAGGTCAAATCCTGCTGTTTGATTAGATGTAGTTCAAGAGTTAACTGTAGATGCTGTTGACTAGCAGACTTATCTCTAGTCTTCCAGCTCTAAGTTAAAGACAATTAGTGTAAATATCTGAAAAATTAAAAATTGAAATATCTTGGCAATTAACATGAACATTACCGAGCTATGAACCTAATGTTATTGTCACAGTAGGTACAGTTTACGAGAGAGTTGCTTACTCTGATAAGAAGACTGGAATTCATGGACGTATTATATGGGGCTGTGCTTGGTCACATGATGGTCTGTTCTTTACTACTGCTTCCCGTGATAAGAAGGTAAAACAAACTTCTGTTGTTCCGCAGTGCAAGACTTAATAGTACTAATGTTTCATTTAACATTATTTCCAGTTACACCCCTTTTATCATTGGATAAGTCATTGTTTAATTTTAAAAATAATATTGATTTATGATCTTAATTTGTTTTTGCCTGTATAATGGAGTATGTCAAAACTAAAAGTTTGTGATTGGGAAGTTAGTACGAAAAATGAACACGTGTTTTGGTTCCAATCATTTGTACACAAGAAGATTGATTATACAGCTTCTAAAGCTCTGCAAGGGATTAGTAATTATAATTGGTTATACAGCTCTGGGAGGGATTAATAATTGACATTTATCTATCAGCACACAGTGTTAGTTCGAAGTGTGTTTTAAAGTAATATGAACAGAAGCTTTATATTTTACAGTAATACAAACACTAATCTTTATATTTGAAATTCCTCTTTCTCAAAATCCTGAAGCTTCTGGGAGTCGACATTTCATTTTTATTAATTAGCAGCCTCGGAACTGTTTCATTTGAAATAAACTAGCTCATAACTTTTTAAAGCTTTTCAAGATTATACATATCTTTATAAACATTACAGTTTGATTATTTTTTGAGATTATATATCTTTATAAACATTACAGTTTGATTATTTTTCGAGATTATATATCTTTATAAACGTTACACAGTTTGATTATTTTTCGAGATTATATATCTTTATAAACGTTACACAGTTTGATTATTTTTT